AGGTTGGCCTTGGCCAAGAAAAGGGCCATCTCATAACCAGATTCTGGAGGAAAGGAGGGAAATGGGAAATGGTGTAAAGGGGTTTTGAGATGAAGAGAAGGGAAGAGAGAGCACATGTTCTAATGTTCTAAACTTTCTCAGTAAAGTATGAGGTGAGGTCCTCAGCAGAGAGGAGAGAAGGGTGTACAAGAGACTTGAGGAGAAAAGAGAAGGTTTATAAAAGCTTTTTAGTGAAGTGACCTGAATCCATAAGGAAGAATCAAAGGACTGCCCTGCTGAGGTGAAGGCCCAGTTGCGGTTGGAGAACATGAGTTTGTAGGGACCGCAGGCAGCTTAATTGCCTGACTTCCTCCAGCTCCATTCAATAGCAGTAGGAACAGGGGTGCCAGATGAAGACAGCAACCCAGGACTGGGATTTGGCAAAGTGTGAGATTTCAAAGGACAGAGGAGCATGGGATTTCATAGTATCATACAATGTGGAGTCAAACTGGTTTACTATAGGATTTGGATTGGAAAAGGAGAAAAACAAAATCAGAGAAGGGTCATGGTCTAAGAGGTTAAGGAAAAGGAGTCTGAGAGGTGGGTGAAGAAGAGGTTTAGGCAGATGAGGCATAAGGAGATATGGAATTATAGGGGACACTTGGTTTTCATCCTTCATTTTTTGAAGATGACCAATGACATGGTGATGTTGGGGTAAAGTAGTGCACACAATGTTTTTTTTTTTTTGGCTAGGCAATGGGGTTAAGTGACTTGCCCAGGGTTACACAGCCAGTAAGCATCAAGTATTTGAGGCTGGATTTGAACTTAAGTCCTTTTGACTCCCAGGCCGGAGCTCTATCCACTGCACCACCTGGCTGCTCCCGTGATGGGTGACGTTTTGACTTGCATATGAATTGGATTGAAGTGAGGCAGAGTTTCACAGACAGCTTTACTCTCTCTTCCAGAGGAAAAGGTTATGAAAGGTTATGGTCAGATAGATGAATGCCAGAGATGCTTTTTTTTTTTTTATCAAGGATGTGGAACATTTGTGGTTAATGGTGAGATCTAGAGTGTGACCATTTCTGCATATGTCTGAGGTGGAGTAAAGTAGGGATTTGAATGGGGAACTAGAAGGCTAGGGTATTTGAGGGAACATGAGTATCAACATTGAAGTCCCCCAGTATAAGGACAGGAGTTAGGGAGGAGAGGGGAAAAGAGTCTCAAGTGATAAACTGCTTGAGAAAAGAGGAAGACAACATGGGTAGACAACATCCACCATGGTCTATATACAGTGAAAATGTTCAATAGAGAGAACTACAAAAGACAAAAGGTTATTGAGAGATGGTGGCAAAGGGGGAGCAGACAATATTCTGACATGCTCCAGGATCAGTGGAGGGGGGGATGGAGGTGATCAAACAAAGGTGCAACTAGGAGAATATGGCCAGGGTTGCAGTAGCATTTGAGGAAAGCCAAGGCTTAATGAAAACAGGAATCCAGTGGAATGAGAATGAGTAGGAAAAGTCCACAAGGAAAAGAAGTTCATCCATAATGGAAATGGAATTCCAGAGAGCACAGTGGAAGGTGTGGACAGAGTTGGAATAGAACATGGGTGGCATAGGATTGAGGAGGCTGGGATTAGAGAATGATGTGGGGTTTGGGGAACAGGAAATTAGGTAAAACAGGGAGATGGGGAGTCACAGGTGATGGGAGCTCGGGTAGTAATGGTTGGTGAATGAAATATAATACTCAGTGAATCCCAAATATGGATATCCCCGTTTGCTTTGCCCTTCACTGGTATTTCATTCTCCCACCATATGCAACTTTCATCCCAGGGTTGTGGAGAAACAGACATACGCACACCTTAGGTCCACTAAGTATGTGCATCCTTCTGAGAGGGGAGGGAACCCACAGCAGCAGAGGTTTTGGGAGTTCCAGCAATCTTCTAATACTGCAGCCTTGACATGGGTACCCAAGATGCTCACCACAGAGCCAGCCCCAAGAAGTGTCTTGCAGAGATAGATCAAACGAGGAGACTAGTGCTGCCCACCCCCTCCTTTAGGCTAACCTGACCAACTTCTTGCCCCTTGCCTTGAGCTTCCCAGCCCCTAACCTTGTATTTACAGAATTCTTTATACTTGGAATTGAATTTGCTGAACATTTAACATGTGCCTATTGTGGGCAAAGCTCCGCATCCTATCTTGGGGACACAGACTGTGAAGAGGCTGGACAAAGAGTGCCCTCTCTCCCTCTTTTTCAATTCCTGGCCCATCCTCACCCGAGGACCCAACTTTCCCAACACCTCCTCCAAGCAGCTTTCCCTTGTTCCCTTCCCTGCCCCCCATGACCACCCCCCCCCAGCTTCATCTGGCCCTTAGTCTTTCAAGACACCCAGACAGTTATCTTGTAACCATGAGTTCAAGGGACTGGCGTGGTGGTGCCTTCTCTCCCTTCTAAGCTTCCTGTGAGCTTCAAGAGACCACAGAGGACTCTTGCTTAGATTCAGCATCTCCCCAGAGCCTAGCTCTTGTGTCTTGGCACACAGCAGGCACTTAATCAATGTTGGCTGAATGAACGCTAGCTTTAGCCCTGGGAGCAAGGATCGGGTACTAGAAAGCCGGCAGTGCTATTCACAGCCAGGTGAGCTCTCAGTTGGCTCAAGATAAGCCTCTTTTTCCTCCCCAAACCTTTGCTGGAACTGCAGGGTGTGGGCTGGCAAAGGGGTGTTGCTTCTTAGCAGGAATAGGGCCCAGGCTCCTGTGGGGGAGAAAAAGCCGAGATCACTCCTTCCCCAATTGCATATTCATTCTGCAGCATTAAAGGGGGGAAATCCACGGTCCTGGCGCCCTCGCACCTGTTGTGGGGGGTGGGGGGATTGGGGTGGGAGTGGGGAGGGTGACAGAGACAAGCCTCCACATCCTCCCATCCCGAGATCTGGTCCCACACTGGTGGCTGATTCCTTCTGCTCCCAGTGGCTGGGGGATCTCAGCTTGGGAGGTGCGGGAGCACCCCAACCCAGTCAGCGTTTTCTGTGCCCTTCTGTGGAGCTCCCCCGAAACTGTCCCGGCAGTCAGAGGGGGCAGTGCAGGGGTGGGGCCCAGATCTTGGCCGACCGGGAAGGAGTCTGGCCTCAGTTCAGGCTGGGCTGGGGTGTCTCCTGCACCAGCTACAGGTTCTCGGCCCCAAGTGGAGAAGGGAGACGGAAGAAGGGGCCCTTAGGCCCGGGCGCCCGTTCCTCTCCTCCCCTGCAAAAAGCACGTTGTCTTCCAGCTCAGGGAATTGTTCTGCACCCTGCAAACTGTAACTCGGGTCGCCTGGAGACGGGCAAAGCGGACATTCCTCAGGCTGCCACAAAATGGGACATTGTGTCGGGGCGCAGAGCGCTGGGCGTTCTTGGAGCCTTCCCTGCGGGGGAGTGGGGAAGGGTGGGGGTGGCGACAGAGACAGAGACACAGAGAGAGACGTCTAGGTAGGAGAACTGGAGGGCACAATCTAGGCAGCAAGCTAAACAGAGACGGGACGAGAGAGACAAAGACAGATAGAGAGAGAGAGACACACACACACACACACACACACACACACACAGAAGGCGAGAGATGGGTACAGAGGTGACGGCTCAATAGAGAAAGGAGACGAGAGACATAAGAAAAAGAGCACAGAAAGACAACACTGGAAAGGAAAAGGGATATAGAGATAAGAGAGAGAGAGAGAGAGAGAGAGAGAGAGAGAGAGAGAGAGAGAGACAGAGAGACAGAGAGAGAGAGAGAGACAGAGAGACAGAGAGACAGAGAGAAGAGAAGAGAAGAGAAGAGAAGAGAAGAGAAGAGAAGAGAAGAGAAGAGAAGAGAAGAGAAGAGAAGAGAAGAGAAGAGATAAGAGAAGAGGAGAAAAAAGGAGAGGAGAGAAAGTAGATAAGACAAAGAAAAGACAGGACCAAGGAGAAAGAAAAGGAGGACAGACCCTAAGTAGAGACAGAAACAGAGCCAAAGGGAAGTAAGAGCAGGAAAAGGAGGAGAAAGGCAGCAAAGAAGAACAGAAGCAGAGAGAAGAGAGAGAGGTAGAAGGGGAGAGAAAGAAGAGACAAATGAAGGAAGAGACGATACCGAAAAGAAAGACAGAAGAAGGGGGAGTGGAAGGAGAAAGGAAGGACAGAGAGAAATGAAGGCTAGAGCAGAAAAGGCCGTCCAGACGGGATCTTTCCCTTGTCTCCAGGGGTAGATTGAAAGGGCCGCCTCAACTAGTATTTTGAGAAGGCAAAGGGGGAAATGTCCCTGAATCTTTCTGTCTCTCTCCCCTCCCCCCTCTGTCTTTCTGCCTGCTTGTCTCCCTTTTCCTCAAGATAGGATTGGAGGCTGGGGAGCATCTAGGGTTGATAATTTGACTTCTGGATTGAATGCTCTCTCCAGCAGTAGGTGGTGATGTAATAGGTACTAGGAAGATATAAATATCGGTGGCCAGGGCCCAGGAGCTATGGCTGGCTGCTAGGGGAGAGGCTCGCGCCCTCCACTCACACGGCTCTTCTCTAGTTGAGATCCAAGTTCGTATCAATTCCCACTGACTTCACCGCTCTCTCTCTCTCGCTCGCTCGCTCTCGCTCTCTCTCGTTCTCTCCTCTGGGTCCTCCCTCTAGGGTTTTCTCACTGCCCATTTCTCCCTCCGTCTCTCGCTCTCTCCCTGTTCCTCATTCACTCACTCTCTAGCTGTCTCTGTCTCTCTCTCTCTGGAGTCTCTGCCCCACCCCACCCCCTCTCTTCCTTCTGCCCCATGCAGCCGGGTTAGGGAGCCCTGGCAGCTCTCTGGGGGCTGGCTGAGCTGAGAACCGCTAGCCGAAAAGTTTATGAATTGGGATCTCTTAGCACGGGGTCGGAGTTGTCCTGCGCTCCTCTCTTCTCCTTCTCTGGTCAGAGCCTGAGAAGGGTCCAAGCCGGGCAGGCGGGCAGGCAGGGCAGGGCAGGGCAGGGGGGTATTTTTAGAGTCATTGACTGCCTCCAGCCAAACCACGTGTGTCCCCCCTGCGAGCCGGGATGCCTCACCCCTCAGCCTTGTTGCCCGCGCTGCTGCTGGGACTGCTGTCCCCCTGGCCGGGCCGCGGGGGCCCTCTGCCTGCCCCCCACAACGACACGCTCGACTGGCGCTGGGAGACCCTCTTCTCTCGCTCCATGGCCCGGCTCCCCGGGGAGAGGAAGGAGATGAACAGGGACGGGGACTATCTGCTGGGCATCAAGAGATTGCGCCGCCTCTACTGCAACGTGGGCATCGGCTTTCATCTTCAGGTCCTGCCCGATGGCCGCATCAACGGCGTCCACAACGAGAACCGCTACAGTGAGTGGCCGCCCCCTCCGCCCAGGGCTTCTCCCTCTCCTTCCATCTCTCTGTCTCTCTGTCTCTCTCTCTGTCTCTGTCTCTCTCTCAATCTCTCTCTCTCTCTCTCTCTCTCTCTCTCTCTCTCTCTCTCTCTCTCTCTCTCTCTCTCTCTCTCTCTCTATCTCCCTCAACCTCTTTCTCTCTCCTCTCCTCTCCTCTCCTCTCCTCTCCTCTCCTCCTCTCCTCTCCTCTCCTCTCCTCTCCTCTCCTCTCCTCTCCTCTCCTCTCCTTTCTCTATTCACCTTCTCCCCTCTTCTCTTCTCGGAGTTGTCTCCTCCCCAGGAAAAAGGTGGTTATGCTAGGGAAAAGAAAGTGCGATTCCCATCGTCTGTAGGATGGTGGGCCAAGGGCGTTTTACTGCCGGGTGTCTCTCACCAGGTGGTTTCCTGGGAGATGGGGAGTGGTGGATCCCAGTCCCCAACCCCCTTAGCCTGAGGGCCGCTTAAGCCCCCTAGCTACCCAGCTGCCCAAGGCCTTGGCCGGAGGTATGTAAATGTCAGGCGCTAGGCAACTAGGGCCGACTCTAGAAAGTCAGGCGAGTTGCGGGGACCGATTGGGCTGAGGGCGCCAGGGATAAAGGAGCTGACTTGTCGCCCAGGGTTTGAGGAAGTGGAGGGTCCCCGCAGGAAACCTGGAGGAGTCTCAGGGTGTTCTAGCCCCGAGCTCGGAAAACAACTATACTCATGCACCAGCTAGTTCAGTCCCCTCGCTTTACAAGAAAGGGAAACTGAGGCTGCCCGAAGTTTTTCGAGAGATGATCTCTGGTGTTCGGGATGATGATAGAAAAGGAGGGACACTGGGGCCCAGATTACAGAGCTACTGTTTGGAGAGAGGGGAGTATAGGAGGAACTGCTAAGAGCGATATTTATCAGCCTATTGGGAAGGCTCGAGTGTTGGCCGCGGCTGCCTGCCCATACAGAATCCGACTGCTGCCCAGAGCCGCAGGATCCTGCTCAGCCCGTTCCCTCTCCTCACAAGTGAGAACTGTGAGCTCTAGCTGGGCTGGGCTTTGCCAGGTGCTCCTGGGCCCCGAGAAATTCCGAGGAGAGCAGGCAGGTGTGTGTCCTCCCACTCCTGCCCGGGGTCCAATTTCTGCCAGGTCCTCCTGCAGCTCAACTCCTCTCCTCTCCTCTACCCCAACCTCCAGCTCCCGAGCGTACAAACGCAGGATTCGGGGCCCTGTGAAGCCAGTGGCTGCCCCGTGCCAGTCCGCTCCAGCCTTGGTGGGGTCCGATGTTAGGGGTGTCCTAGACTGGGAAGGGGTTGTGGACCAGTTAGAGGTTAGCGTTGAGGTCAGAGCGCGGCCGAGAGCCCCAGAGGGGTGAGAGGAGCGGGGCGGTGCGCCTCCGGGTCCCCAGGCAGTGAGGCATATTCAGTAGCTCGGGCCAACCACCCTCATGTCCCGCCGCTCGCCCCATCTAGGTTTGCTGGAGCTGTCTCCGGTCGAGCGGGGAGTCGTGAGCCTCTTTGGAGTCAAAAGTCGTCTTTTCGTGGCCATGAACAGCAAGGGCAAACTCTATGGCTCGGTAAGAAGAGGAGCTGGGGAGGGAGACCTGGTGAGGGGGGCCCTGGCCCTGGCAGAGGGGCTTCGGAGACTTTGGGTGGGAATTGCGGGTTCCTCATTTCCAGCCGCCACACACCTGTCCTGCCCCTAAGGTTGCTCAGACTCCTAGGACTCCTGAGCCCCCGATACAGAAACGCTTTTCTCTGTGTGTCTGTCTTTGTCTCTCTGTCTCTCTCCCTCTTTTGTTTCTCATCTGTCGTTTCTCCTGTGTGTCTCTCCTCTCTCTCTCTCTCTCTCTCTCTCTCTCTCCTCTCTCTCTCTCTCTCACACACACACACACACACACACACACACACACACACACACACAGAGTGGGGGAGGTGTGAGGAGTGGGGGTGGGGACAGCTGCCCCCACCACAAACCAAGGGGAGGGAAAGAGGCAAATAGTGTAGTGGATAGAGTGACACAGAAGTTTGAATCCTGGCTCTGGTGGGCTAAATGATCCTGAGCTTCTCACTTGTCTGACTCTCAGCTTCTACCTCTATCATGGGAATAATCATTTGAACTTCTTACTGGTCTGGGTTGTGAGGAGGAAAACCTATAGAAATGGGAGTGGGTAGGCCAGACTCACCCTGGCCAGGGACATGGTTGAGCAGGGTGTGAGTCCCTAAGACCTCTTCAGGAATACATCAGGCTGTTGGACCGGCAGCAGCGACATGAAACCTAACAGAAGAAAATCGATCTACTCTTTTCTTCTCCACCCCTCTCCTTTCTTCTTCCCTTTAAGGGAATCAATCAGCTTTTTGGGATAACACTCCCACATGCCTGGTTCCTGCTTCTGGCCCCTCAGTGGGTGGGAACCTGAGCACCTAGGGCTATGGGAGGAAGGAGAATCCAGCTGACCCATCCTCACCCCCCCAATTCCTCTTCCCCATACCAGGCTCCCTGACTGCACCTGGCTCACGGGCCTGGGAGAGTAGTAGGGCATCAGCTAGTGAGGGTCAGGGAAGCACTTCGGGAGGGGGAGAAGGGGGAAGGGGGAAGAAGAGTGGGGAATATTAAAAGCTTGAGGAACAGTACTGACCAGGTGTCTGGAAGGCTGTCAAGCTGCTGAACCAGCTGTTTTCTGTGTGTGAAGAAGAGTAGTTATGCTCTGGCCCCACCCCAAGTGGACCAGGTGGGCAAAAGCATCTAGCCTGGGTTTTAGAGAGAGAAAAGATCTTAGAAATCATCTTAGCTATCATCTCCAGTGCTTAGCCTAGTGCCTGACACATAGTGTGTACTTAAGAAACATCCACTCATCCACTCATCCATCCATCCACCCATCCATTCACCCATCCATCCATCCATCCATCCATCCATCCACCATCCATCCATCTATCTGTCTGTCTATCTAGCTCCCTATCTATATCACCACTTCTCCGAAGAGAAAACTAAGGCAGCCAAGAAGGAGGTAGGAGGCTTACCCAAGGCCACATGGTTACTAATTGGCTGGGCCAGGATTCGAACCTGAGTCCTTTGCCTCTGTCACTACCTGCCTTACTTTGGGCAAATCACTTTACCAGATAGTTTCAGTTTTCTCATCTGGAAAATGGGGTCATGGGATGAGATAGGCTCTAAGGCTCCTTCCAGTTCTAAATCTATGGTCTTATGACTCCTGTCCAGGACGCTTGCCAGTTCAATCTGAAATAGTTCAGTCCTGTCTTGGGGGCATCCTTTTGACCCTTGGAAGCAGCCCTAAGTCTGATTGCTTGGGTGTATTCCTTATGGGTCAAAATCACTCTGCTGTAAAGTCCCTGGGCCTGCCCTGAGCCAGGCATGGAGCTGAGCCCATGCCAGCCGTGGTTCCGAGAGTCTGGGAGGGGCATTGCTGCCCATTGGAAGAACCCTGACCAACCCTCTTGCCCCTTCCTTCTGTCCAGCCCTACTTCAATGATGAGTGCACCTTCAAAGAAATCCTCCTGCCTAATAACTACAATGCCTACGAGTCTGGGCAGTATGTCGGCATGTACATTGCCTTGAGCAAAAATGGGAGAACCAAGAAAGGGAACCGTGTGTCCCCCACCATGACTGTGACCCACTTCCTGCCCCGGATCTGAGGGAGAAGCCGCCAGTCCTGGGCCTCCTCAGTGCCACCTCGGGAGGGATGACCGAGGGAGAGATGCAGGGAGGCAGATCCGGCTGGACCCATGGGAAACCAGACAAACTTGGTGCACTTTCAATTGAGACTTCTGCGGGAGCAGGTGTATGTAACATAGTTAAGTGAATTATTTAAGTCTGTATATATTGCCACAAATTTATTTATGATTCTGTGGGTGTGTCAGTTTTTGGAAAAGAAAAGAAATGAACAGAAAAGAGGGAAAGCCCTCTCTGCTGGGACTGCTCTTCCTTGTCTGCTTCCTGTCACTGTTTCTCATATAACCGTGTGCTGCTATTATCATCTGTCCAGAGACTGAGGGAACTGGGTTGTTCTAGACTCCGCCACCCTTGGGGCTTGAAGGGGGTTCTGCTGTGCCCTCACATTGAATTCCTTGGTATGCCCAGGACCCGACAAAGCCTTGCCCCTCCTTCTGGTTCCTCAGTGGTGGGGATGGGCACCCCTCTCCAGACTCCCCGGTACCCTCAGCTGATGGCTGAACCCCATTTGTGCCCAGCTGCTGCTTTATGGAAACATATCAGTTTCCTTCTGGTACAAAAAGAGCCCCACAGAAGTCCTACCCCACAAATCTGTTTTTAGATCAGCCAGGGCTGACCTTTGAGCTTTCCTCCAGGCAATCTTCCTCGATCTACTGCTGGGCAACAGGGACCCTTCGACAACAAACTTTAATTCTCCTTTCCTTAGATCTGCCTGTCAGGGAGGGGACCTCTCCACTATTGCACTGTGAAATCAACCTTGGTTGGGTGTGTGGGGGACTGCCTGGAAGAGGCTTAAGTGACCAGCTTTCTTTTTAACCCAGTGACAAAGCCTTTCCTTTTTCTTCTCACAATTTGTGATAGCTGCCATCCAGTCCCAACCACTGAATCAAGAGCATGGAGCAAGACCTTGATCTTATAGCAGTTCTGGCCAGGACTGAGCCTTGCTTTGGTGGCTCAGACCGCCCCTTAGACACAGAGAAACACACACAAACCTGGAGTTATCTCTTTCATTTTTTTTTTAATGCAGTGCTTAGAAAGACTGCTCCTCTTCCTTCTGCCTCCTTCCCTGCTCTGCTGGTTTTATGTCTACCTCACTAATGCTTCAAAGCAAAATCTCCCAGGAAAGCCCAGGATTTCTGCTTTCCAGACTCTCCAAGGCTCTGGAGGTTGCAATTCCAGCGCCCCGTTTTTCCATATGTAGCCAAGAAGCATTCCGCCGGTGTGGGCTATATCCCATCTGAACCTTGTCACGTTTGAGCTATCTTTACCCAGGGATTTACTTTTAGTAAGGATAATCATGGAGAAAATATTCGCAGACAGCTGTCAGAGGGCACTATATGGTCATTGAGTAACCCTATATTTTTCTTTATATATTTTTCGAATGGAAGCTCTGTCACTGCAGCAAAGACAGAAGAGGCAGAGGCAGGGGCTGGGGACATTTAAAAAAAAAGCCCCCACCCTCACCCTACTGCCACACCATGGCCAATGTGGACATTTTAATGAATGAGTTTTTAGAGTTTATACAAAATGACCTTAGGTGGTGACCAGAAATGCCCGAAATGTTTATTAAATACTTGAGTTCCCCTCGAGGATGTTTGCAAACTGGCTCCCAAATTAACTTTATGGGGCCCGGCAGACAGCAAGACTATGGAAAATCTGAGTCTCGCCTTTTCTCTGTGACATTCTTGGTTTGGGGTGGTTGTTGGTGCTCAAGGATCTCTGTTTTATTGCAATCACTTGCGCCCCACTACTGTGTTCACTTAGCCCGGTGGCTTAAGTCTGCGGAGGCTGCTTGTGTGGAGCGGGACAGGAGGCTGCGGTGTTTCTCAGGGCCTCCGAGAAAAGTCAGGGAGGAGCCAGTCCTAGCTGCCCAGGGCACAGGGCAGAGAGGTCTCTGCTTCCTGAAAGGTAGGACTGGATACTTGGAGAGTTCTTCTGATATTTCTGGGAGGATAACCACACCCAAACAGTAATGAATTATTCCATATCTCAGACAACAAAAGCAGTCCTCCATTTTGCTGGATAATTGGTCCAGTTTTCTTGTCAACACACACACACACACACACACACACACACACACACAAATACACATGCTTACAAATGAGAGAATCACCTTCTCTGCTCATGGGGTTGGTACTGTCTGTGCCTTTAAAATACTGTTGTACCATTTTTACACAGATGTGTGTTTGAGCTCTCAAGATTGACCAATATTTGCAGAATCTGTCTGTAGTTTTATACAGGTGCTGTCTTATATTGCAATGTATGTGCTATGCACATGTAACAAGGAATAAATCACGATTGGTTACCACAGACAACAAGCTGGGCTGCATGTAAATCCTTGGAGAGGGTATGAATGAGTGCATTCCATGATAAAGCAACTGAGTGTCTGCAAACCCTATGCAAAGAGGCAGCTTGAGGTTGGATGTTAGGAAAAACTGGCTTACAGGTTAAGGCGTCCAAAAGTACAATGGGAGGTGGTGGGCTCTCTCCATCACTACAGGTCTCCACACCTCTTGCCTGGATTACCACTGGCCATGGAGGATGAAACCATGGGATCCTAGGTTTAGAGCCAGAGGAGAGGGACCTTGAAAAGATGGTAGAGGGCATTCTTATTCTGGCGGGTGATGGATGATGCATCAGAGGCTGCAAAGGTCTCTTCTGGCTCTTCTGTGATCTTAAAGTAACTTTCCTGTTAGGGCTTTGAGTCTGCTCTTCACACACAGAGTGTGTGCATGTATTTTAACCAACTGCATCCAGACATTGCTGGGATCGTGAAACCAGAAGGCCTTGCCCATGTCTCATGGTCAGATGGAGAACTGCGTTAAGTTGGTGAAGCTCGTGTTTTATTCATGGGTCGTAGATCTGGAACTGGGATGGATGGATAGATGGATGGATGGATGGATGGATGGATGGATGGATGGATGGATAAATGAATGAATGAATGCAAGAGCATTTATTAAACATTTACCATGTGCCAAGCAACGTACTGGGGATGCAAATACAAAAACAAAGACAGTCCCTGACCTCAAAAAGCTTACATTCTAGTGGGGAGACAGGACACCAAGACATGTGATGGCCAGGGAAGGGCGCTTTAGTTTGGAAGGTTACAGGAGGGGCTCACCAAGTCTAAATCCCCCATTTCACAGATGAAGAAGCTCAGAAGAGGAAGAGCTGGGGTGACCACAAGTGTTTGAGGGACCACCATCTGGACACTGGCTTAGCCTTGTTCTGATTGGCCTCAGAGGGCAGAATTGGGAACAAGGGTGGAAGTTAAAAGAAAAGTAGTTTTTATCTAGTGTCAGGCAAACCCTCCTTGCAATGAGAGAGGTCTCAAAATGGGATGGCCAGCCTTGGTTGGAAGTGTGTTCTCCTTGGCTAGCGATCTTCAAACCACACCTGAGTGGCCTTTCCCTGGGAGTGTGGGATAAGCTTCCTAGGTTTGGAGTTAGAAGGAACCTTAGAGGCCCTTTAGTACCGACCCCTCACTTTCCAGATGAGGACCAAAAGTGGAAGTTAAGTGATTTTCCCATGGTCACAAAGGGTGTAAAGGGCAAAGCCAGCACTTGAACCCAGATCTGATGCCTTCAGAAATATTCTGCCACTGTTCTTCCAAACACTGAGATCACATAACCCTAATCAGATCCATTTGAATGATGGGTAGAAAAATCAGGGTCCTCTGATACTCAGGCTGAGGACTGGTACATTCCCTGGAGTCCATAAAATGATTTGGGGTTTCTGAATATTTCTGAGGTCACAGAGGATGCAGAGATGACCTGATGTCCCAAGTGGAAGGATTGCAGTTTTGCCCCCTGGCCTGGCACTCTAGAGACAGCTCACATCGGGGGCTTCTGGAATCAGTCACGGCCTGAGTTGGGAGAAGCAATACAGTGGGAAAGGCCATGATGAATTGTTATTTGTTAAGGCATCTTCCCCGCCTGCAGTCCCCTTTCTTCTCTCTACCTCAATGATCTGAACACTACAGGTCAAATCTATATAAAAGGACTTTTGGGATAGTGTCCTGAAAGCCCAAAGCCTGCCCTCTCCCTGTCAGCCTGGATGCCTTTTTCATGTGGTGGGCTATTGTTTTCCCCTGGGACCACTGACCAAACCTACGTGTTCCCAGAGGGCAGAATCAGAAGGTGTGTGGGAAGCTGAACAGATCACCAGTTACCCAGTGGGCATTGCTAGGTTCTACCTCCCTGGCAGCCGTTAAGAAAAGGTGGGCTGTGCACAACCTTGCCAGGAGGATTACTGGTGTGTGGGAGGTGGAAGTAGAGCAGTAGGATGGAGACAGCTCTGGAATGGCAGATGGAGAGCTGGGTTCAAATCTGACTCTTATGCCAACTATCTATGTGAGCAAAGTCACAAAGGGCTTCAGTTAGCTAACTTATAAATAGGAGGAAGGAGGTGGGTTAGATCAGCTCTAATACCCACGACCCTATGACCCAAGTCACCTCTTCTATGAGCCTCAGGTTTCTCATCTGCCGAATGGGAGGGTACTGTGCCTGGTTACCTCTTGAGGGACCCGTATGTTTCAGGAGGATCCTCTCCTGTCCTAGTATTTCCCTCTGGTTAAGGATCTCCCAGAGTCCCTAGCCCTTGATCAGCATCTGGGGCTGTGGATTTCAAGCAAAGCTGGCAAACAGTAAATAGATGGAAAGGCCCCTGAGCTTTGCCAAGTATTTGACACTTTCAAAGACGGTTGAAGTCTCTGAAGCTGATTTGTACTTCAGAGGTAATGTGATTAGCAAGGAGCTTGTAAGTAGCATATGCAGATGGACTCCAACCCCCATAAACCATTTTCTTTCACCTAAGTGAGAGGGTGTGAATGAGGGAGAGTGAAGGGCAATAAGGGACCTGGGGAGGTGTGGATGAGATGGCTGGGGGTGGGGGTGGGGAGAGGCCTGGAGGGCCCCCAGATCCCAGCCTTTGGAGATGGGCCCCCGTCAGCTTCCCTCCCCAT